TTCTCTTCTCTGTTGTGAAGACATGCTAAAGTGCTTGTCAACTTGTCAGCGGGGTTAAATAAAAAAAGGGGGGCGGGGGGATATACAAAGGCAAAGCTTGTAAAATCTCAAATTTAAAAAATTAAGGCTATGAATTTAGGCATGCCTGTTTTTCACAATAGGCGGGAAATGTTATTTAAATTTCCTACTTATCAAGAAATGCTGGGGAAATGTGTGGGGCCAATAGTGAACAGCGAAGGCCGTAGCATTAATCTGGGGGAGTGAGTTGAACTTCAGGGGTGGGAGGGTATTTTTTTTTTGCGTTCTCTTGCGAAAATTTATTGTGGAAAAAAAAGAGCTCAAATGATTTGAAGTTGTTGTGCAATACTTAATTGAGACATGAAAACCACAGGTTAGTGGTAGGCTGACACTGGGCGGTCTTTCCATCGCCTAGAGTCAGTGTCCTCTAGAGAGCTTTCCAGTCTACTATGTCAGAACTGTGGTTTCTTGTTGATTTTTTTTCCTTTTTGTTTCTTTTTTAAAAATTCTTTTTTTGGGCTGTAAACTATGGTCTGTCAGTCTGTGAAACTTTGCAGTATAATTCTGGTATTGTTGTTCTCTTAACTGTGTAATAAATATGTTAATACCTGCCTCTGAGACTTGGGCTGGTGTTCTTTCATTAGCGTGTCCAAGATTAGCAACACTAGAAAAACACTGATTATTAAAGCTTGGACCTAAGACTTAAAGTTATCTTGTGTTGAAACTGGAAGTGTGGCATTTGAAAGGTGTGGGTATTTAGAAAGGCTAGGAAAGATGCTATTTAGTTGCATTATGGGTATGGGTATGAGCTTAAACCCTTACTAGAAACAAACCGACCTGTCAGCTTCAATTTTGACCTGTTTTTTTTTTATCTTTCTCTGGTGAGTGTTGGTTTTATGGATTTAAATTTCAAAACATGAACAGATCCAAATGTGACATTCGGTCCACAGTAATGTATCGGACTCATGCCTACATACAGTAAGTCAGTTTAATGTCAATAAGTATTATACAATAAGTACGTTTAAGAAGTGAATATATTCATCTGTTAGTGCTGTAGAGTAGACATCCAGACACTAAGAAGTGGAAAATTTGTTAAATTAAATCTGACTGCTAAGTACATACACAGCTTCTTCATTTTTCCACATATCTGGCTATTTTTCCTGTTTCCAGACCTTGGACCTCACTGTCTTTATTAAGGATCACTTCTCTACTGTTGAAGTGTTTTCTAATGGCTTATTTATTCCCAGCTAAAGTTTAGAATCTGTGCATCTGATCTTTTATTTTGACAGGTTAAATTTTTGATTTTACACCCCTCAGAACTAAAGTAGCCTTCAAATATTTGGAATATATAGATGACTGTATATTGATTGTGATGAATTTCTAATTACAAGAAACGATGTGATAGCTGAAACCTATGTAGTACTATAGCCATCACACATACAGTTCATCCTAGAGACATCCAGACCTTACTAAAGAGCTTTTAAACTAATCACTGATAGTGTAACAAAATAATTGTGGACTGTAAATGTAATACTTCTCTCTCTTTCCCATGACTCCTTCATTTCCTGTGACTGACTGCCTGTTTCTCTCATCCCCTCACATTGCCCACACTATGTGCAGCAACAGATACAGTTTGAACCAAAACCCACAAAGACATTATACCATACTGTATCCTTAAGATATCTAGTTTGGAAAATATGCGTAACCTTGTAAAAATACTGAATGAAAAAATTACTATTATTACATTTTTCTCTATTTTCTATATTTATTTGTATATACATATGTATGCCAGGTTTAATGTGGTGTTGACGTCATGTGGGATGGAAGGCAGTGATGGAAATTTCCATACTTGCAGCATTTGAGAGTTCAAGTCATCAGACAACTTAAGATTGTTGTATGATTGCAGAGTTGGATGAGTGAGGATAGAAATACTGCACACTGACAACATTCTGTGGGACTATATCCATGACATAATGCCCAATAAGACAGTAACATATGTCAAGATGTCTTTAAATTTCATGACACTATCTGACTGGTTAACCATTTTATTGCCTACATTTTATTAGTCCCAAATTATGGTCTCGATCTGCAATGAGTATGAAGAAGAAGAAGATATACTTTATTGATCCCCCTAGGGTAGCAAAAACAAAACAGGATAACAAAATGACTGATTTTGAGAGTGCAAGGCAGTCTCAGGTGACTCAGTGTTGGGGCTTGCTGAACTCGAGTTATTTGAAACACGAAACACAATAATAACAACCAGTCAGAGCCTCTGTGACCTTTTAAGCAGTTATTAATTTTTTATTTTATGTTTTCTGGAGATGTACAACTAATTGCCTAATATAAGAAACCAATCAGCCCCTGACTCCGTGAGAGATATATCACGTTCTCAGACACTTGAGAGACTGATTAGACAACCAGTGCGGTGACCTTACCCTATGCATCAAAATGTTACCAAGCACAGTGAAAGGGCTTAAGGAACTGTTAAAAATGAAGGAGAGTGATATATATTACAACAAAGCTGTAACGATATGAGCGGGTGATGGAGCTATTTATATGCCAGTACAATTAACCTCCTAACTAACCTCAGGT